AGAGAGAGAGAGAGAGAGAGAGAGAGAGAGAGAGAGAGAGAGAGAGAGAGAGAGAAAGAGAGATAGATAGATAGATAGATAGATAGATAGATAGATAGATAGAGAGAGAGAGAGAGAGAGAGAGAGAGATGGTGAACATCTTAAACGATAATAAGTGGGAAAAAAGGGTGTCCAAGTTATTCTCAAAAAAATCATTTTCAATGCACTTGAACCTATTATTGTTATGGCTGCAATAGTTGTAAATGAAAAACGTTTTGTATTATTTTAAATGTTTTTTACGTGAATGATATGATTTATCAGTGCTTTCTTTTTAAAGACATATAGTACCCATCAAATGATAGAATTGAGGGGGGAGGGGGGAGAGAGAAGGTGGGAATTGTAAAAAAAATAAAACAAAAGAGACAGGGATGGTGTGAACATGCTATAAGGGATGATACGAAATCGGAGGTGGTGCTTGCATAAGGAAGGTAATAGAGAAGAATTGTGTGTGTAATTGGTAATTTAGTTCATTATTGTCGCTCAAAGTTCGTAGTATAGAGAATGAGAAATAACTTGAACTAAGATTGGAAAAACAGTGTGACCGTGTATTTAGTGGGGAATATGTGACGTTATGAAAATATTGGTGTATCCGTGTGAGTACATGAGGGAAGGTGTGGTTAATGTATGGAATTATAAATATCAATTGTCTGACACACAAAATATCTTTTGTGTTTTTACGAAAATATGATATCTTACATGCGTTGTATATTTTAGTTTTCGTATTTGTTTTGTATAAATATATAGTTCATTCACATTTATTCAAAGACAAGGATATGACGTCTGAGCAGTGCATAAGAGCATGCGACATGATCCTCAAATATGCAAAAGAAGGTGTTCAATGGAGGAACGACGACGAGTAGAAGATGTTGAAGGGTCACATACCTTCATACTTTGATGCGCATGTTGATATTTTAAAAATGTTGGGAATGAATACCAAGATGATTCCTGATGTATTGGTTTTTCTTCATAAAATGAACAATATTTCGTTATGCAAAGTAGAGGGGGTGTTAGCCACATGATGCGAACTGATATCTCATGAGCTCCGTAGCACCGTGTTTGGGCTCGGTGACCGAACCCGAACATAAAATACCGAACTCTAACACAGGCCAAAACCTACCGAACCTGAACGTGAAATTTTATTATATACATATTATATGTATATTTATATTTATATTTATATATAACGTAAAAGTATAGTTATATTCACATACA